TTTTTTACCCAGACATTTGGAGTCTAATGGTGTGTTCAGAGTAAGTGCAAAGCGAGGTTTTGCCTCATGAATGAAGTCACTTTAGCACTTTTTAATTATTTTTTTTTATGTGGACAATGTGGCCACTAGCAGCAAGCAAGACGACTACTTTTATCCAGACTGCAGCAGATACAGATCCCTCCCTTTTTTCTGTATATATAAAAGAGAATCTCCAGCTGCTCACAAACGATTAGATTTTCCTCCTTCTCTGATCACTTGTGGCATCAGGAGAACACATGGGAGGGGTCGAACGAATAGGGTTAAAATTTGCTTTAATGGACAGCGTTTAAGATTACGGTCCTCATCTTTGAGGGTTAAAGTACCGCAGAACTGACGCTGGCTCACTTGTTTACACTTTCACCATCATAAAGATCTGCTAAGTTTTAAGGGGCCTTCAAACAGGAAGGGCTGCTTGCAAGGGTGCGGTCCAGGCTCCGGTTGCATGTACCACCTCCTCATGTCAACCAACAGTATCCTTTACTCTTATTGGTACTTGCTTCAATTTGCCTTGACTGCAAAGCCTAGAAAAGCTTTGATCTGGTATCTCTAAGTTTAAGTGGCTTTCTATGATTTCTGGTCGCAGTGACGTTGCTGCTAGTCGCTTCCTGGGTGGACGCCCCTCGAGAACCAGCGGGCAAATCCTGTTGTACAGCAAGGGTGGCGACGCTTACACATCTAGTTGATTAATCGCTCGCATGCCCGTTACAAACATACAAGAACGTATTTTCGCCTCTCTGAGCGCTACAGGGTGCAAACTTTGCTTTGCGTTTACCCCAAACACACCACAACATTCCTGCTTCTCTGTAGTGAGATAAAACCGTTTTCAGATCTCAGGAGTCGACTTTTTTGAACTGAATGCTAGCGGACAGAAATGATGTGCAAAAAAACACAAAATAAATGTAAAAGATGTAAAAACAAAACAAAACACACAACCTTTAACCTTCAAGCAACCAAGCTCTTAACTACATGGGAACACATTTTGTACGGCTCTGTCCAAGTTTGTGGGGTTTTCTTGACCTGTGATGAAATGTTCTAATAATTAATAATAATTATGGTTTTAAATCACTTTTATCCACTTACAAAAATGCAAGTCACTAGTAGTAGCCACAACAAAAAGAGAGGAAGAAAAAAAAAAGTGGAGATTAAAAGTGAAAAATTCTAACAAATAACATTGCAAAACAGAACTCTACATCATCTTTGCAGCACCAGTTCCAATAAAGAACAATGAAAAGTTGCAGAAGTAGATGGACGAACTTGTTTTCCCACACATGTATAAATACACAGCACTCGGTCACTTGAAGGTTAAAGAATTCAGAGCCTTGGAATCCATTCACACTTCTAGTGCAAAGTGTATATAACGACTCTTCCCATACTGTGACACGCTGCATGTAACTGGGCGCTGGGCTGTAAAAAGGCATTTTCATGTACTTCGTCAGGCTTTAGTAAGCACGTACTTATGAGTTATTCATCAGCGAAATGTATGTTGAAGAGCAGAGTCATTACAACTACAATGCAAAGCTTTTCCCTCCTTTAAAAATGATGCAAAATGGCGTGATGAGAAAATGAAGAAGGAAACCTCCTCTCATTTTACTGAGGGCTCGCATTCTCATAGAGATCAAGTCTGCCTCACTCTGCAGCTCAGTTTGACGGAGAGAGAGGAAAAAAACAAAAACAACAACAACAAAAATGAAAACAGCGGGCTGCTTTGAAAAGGAGAAGCAGCTCCTCATTTAGCACGGTAAACAAGAAGCTTTGAAGTCAGCCATTTAAAATAGGATTTACATGAATAAATAAATCGCTCACTGATGTGAGGCAGAAGGCTTTGGGTAATCGTCTGTGATTCTAACACACATGACACTGCAAATAACACTGCGAGGTTCAAGTCTGGGAATTATTAATAAATACCACCTGCTCCGGTCTGCGCTGCGCCTTTGTTCAAACTTTGCTCGGCGGTCGCGAAGAATGAAAGTCGCTTTATTCGATGAGGCGACGGATGACGAGAGTTTATATTAAACGCCACTTTATTGATGTCATCGTTCACGTCGGTGACGGAGCGTCTCCGTCTGTCCTCGGCTGTACAAATTAACGACGACATACATACAAAGGCTTGTAGATGTGCGTCGCAACTCTGTGCTTCACCTCGATCTCTTTGAAATATATTAAAATAACAGTTAAAACTCTCACTAGGGACGGGGTTGGATAGCGTTTCAAGTGTCAGATCTCCAGTAACGAAAAGCTGCTGTTTTTAGTGGAAGCTTGATTAAATAAACATGAGCCGAGCAGCATAAAGTATGAAATATTAATTAAATGTATGTGACACATTTAATTAAAAGCTGCAGGCTACTGTACTTCACCAGCGACTCTAAAACGCTCGGGGTGATTTAACGAGGCAAAAAACAGCACCGACTCCACGCTGGCGCGTTGCAGAGGTGAGAGAACGGCCTGTCGTATAAATATGTTTGTTTATAAGCGAAATTCACGAGTGGCCCGGATCACTGGGGATAAAAACACTCATCTGAGCAGAACTTGAACAAGTCTGGCAGGTAAATACGAGACTATAACAACATGATGCTAACACAGCTTTCATGAAACTGTACTGGACTGTATGCCTGTGTAGTTTTACTGGTGTTGTTTGCAAGCTTCAGCCCGAATCAGAGTTTAAAATATCGAATATCACACTTTAACCGGTGCCCGTGTTCTTCCTGCAGGTCTCTATCCACGATCGCCCTCTGCTCTGCTGCTGGCTCCATTTTTCAGACATTTCTTTTACAGAAAGTTGAAAAGACGACATAATTTGCAGGCCAAGCAGGAAGTTCATGTCGCCGTATGTGCCTCAACAACCAAAAAAGCCAGAAAAATAAGATTTGTAAAAGAGAAAAGTTCATGTTTTATTGAGAAACATAATCTTAGGCTATAAAAGATTTAACACCACGCTATCACCGCTAAAGCTCGCTGGGTGTTTGGTGCCCTTCCACAGAATCCACGAATGGACTATTTACTGGCATCTTTTATGTTGTGGAACAAAACGAGGAGAAAGTGTAAAGCTCACGTAAAACACGGGCCTTAATTTGAGCTACGAAGAACCGGAAGTGCAAACTCATTTCCAGGTTTAAGACTCGTTCCTGCGGCTGTGAAGGGGAGAAGCACCTATCATCCACCTTTCAACACAGCTGTGTTGATGGCGCAGTGTTAATTTTTATAATTGTTTTAGGCTCTCCGATTTCAATCTAGCGATTTCTTGCAAACTTTTGCAGTAGCTCAAGTGACTTGGGTCGATCTCCAAGTCGTCAGGGCCTGTGAAAATTGTTATCCCAGCAGGTGGGAGAAAAACAAATATACCACCTAACACGCTTAAAAAAAACCCAGAAAACAAATTATTGTTAGTTTTTTCTTTAAAACAGAGTTAGGCTACTTATGTCTCACAGGGTTAGAAAGTTTGGCACAAAAAAATCAAAGTACGAGAAGTTTTGGATAAGAACCTGAAAATGTTTGAGTGTGAAGCTAAAACTTTGAACAAACGCCGAAGTTTTCATTTCAGCCCCCATCAAATCAAGTTTTCCTCCAGCTGAATCTGCAGCCGGCTCCTCTTTCTGCTTTTGTTGTTCTTTAATAAAAAAAGGCTTAATGAGAGATTTGTTTACCAGCTATCACAGCCCCCCCCTTGCCTCGCTCCCTCTGCTCGCCTTCCCTCGATGTGTTACGTTTGAGTGTCATGGATGGAGAACAGAAACGGACGTCTGCAGCGCTGCCCGTCTCTCGATCAGTCTTTGCTTACATGATTGTGACAGCCACCGTTTGCTTCCAACGTCTCGGAAGACCTCTCGGCTTTTCATCCTCCCCTTACTCCTCCTCCTCCGGCTTATCGGTACGGCGGTTCGGGCTGTTGAGGGTTCGGCCTGTAAAGCTGCTGCACTCGCACGGGCCGCCCGTTAGCCGGCCAGCCTCCCGATAGCTGTCCGATAACCCTGAGGCCCACCGCGTGGCCGTGTCCTGGAAGTGGGGCGCTGGGGCTGAGGATGTGGGCCTGCCCCAGCTGGGGCTCAGCGGTGGGGGCGCTACTTTGAAGGCATGGCGCCGAGGCGGGCGGGGAAACAGGGTAATGAGGGAGTAGAATGGCAGGTGTGAGGCCATAGCGCACTTGGAACACTCTAAGAGGTCCCTGCGCTAAAAAGCCGTTCGGCCGCTGAGGCTCCTGCAGCTTTTCCGAGTCCTTTACCGCCGGGGCTTTGCACTCCTCCGCTCTCTTAGTTTTCCCCTGCTGCTTCCCGGCCTGAGCGAGCTCTTGCATCTTCTCTGCCTGAGCCCTGCGGATGTGATACGTCTTCCTGGAGCTTTGAAAGGAGTCCAAGAACTCGTCCAGGCTTACGTTTCCCCCCATGAACTTCTCCAGGAGCTCCTGTGAAGCAGGGTAGACAAATAAAGCGGCATCAGCAGACAGGACGTCACACTAAGCAGAGCGGGACTCGTTCAAACAAGCTCAATCTGATCAGGGATGTTTACCGGTGAACTTTGTCCGACACAATATTTCACTGCAACTAAATTTAATACTACTACACATGTCCTACAACTATTACTTCTGGCAAAGCTTCAAAGACTGTGTGTGTGTTCTCAGCACCATACCAGCATCGTCTGGCTAAACCGAGCACTGACAATAGAAGTTTTATTTATGGAGTAATCACTGAATTAATCACAGTCAGGTTTTTTTTTTAGTTTTTTTTTTTTTATACACATACCGGAAACCAAAACTCAGATTTATTCCACAATACTTACGTAGCTTCTTTAGAGTTCACCAAATTAAGTTTAAAACTTAACGATTAAAAGCAAGCTTACCCACTTTCTTTGCAAGCCTGGAGTTACTCCCGTTTGGTTTCCACACACCCACACACACACAGAATTAACTGACTCAAATCTTTGCTAAAATTGACACTTCCTCCTTTCAAGTTGTTGAGCTCATTCGGCTGTGCAGCTGACAGTGTTTGATGTGCAAACTGAAAGCGTGCGCACACAATCCACTGTCAAACCACGCTCGGTTGTTTGTAGGTGTTTATTGTCTCCTGAGAGCACCACCAAAAAAAAAAAAAAAAAAAACACCACAAAGCAGACGCCACTGTCTAAGAAAAGCTAGA